CCCTACGTTTTGCGCTAACTTTTTCCCATGTTCATACTTCGCCTTTTTTTGAAGGTATTGTGTTCTGTTGCGTGCCCTCTTGTAGATCGACCACGCATCGGCAGTCCGGTACTTCCTAAAACGGGCCCAGCATCTCCTCGGGTCTATTAGTGTCCGATCTAGTTGTGGCCTCCATGAAGTTCGTCCTTGCATACTGCTCCTGGGTTTGAGGGGTGCGAACCTCCTACCTTGACGGCAGACCATCGTTCCTCCAACGTTGGCTCCGGAGCTAGTGGTACTTAATCTACTTGCTCCGCGGCCTCTTGTAGGGTAGCAAAGTTTATACGGCTATAGCACCGTTTCACTGTGGCAGCCGGTTTGCTGTTTTTCATTGGTAGTTCTAACCTGGGTACTCCATGATCGCTCCTGCTCTGTGTAGTCTCCAATGTTACCTCACTTATGTTCGATAAATACCACGTTATAACTAAGTCCAAGATAGAGGCCCTATGTTGGTTATGAAACCTTGTGGTCTGTATGATGTGCTGAATGAGCGCATGCTCATGTAGCCACGCTAGAAAGCTTTTTCCCTTTGTCTCAACGGGAGCCTCTCCATCTACCCAGCAGATTCCCGGAGGATTGAAGTTACCCAGAATTAGGATCCTTTGGGTCCTCGATGTGAATTGGTGCATTGTAGCAAGTAGTTCCATATCTTCTGTGGGTTCCTCCTGGGATGCGCGATAGACTAGTAGCACTCCCAACGGTCGTCTTCTCAAGAAAGTACTACACCCCTTGGCTTGAATATTAGGTGTCGCCAGTTTTACTGGCGAGTCCCCTTGAGTGCAGGCGGCCTTGACCAGTAGGAGTACTCCTCCGCCTTGTCTGACCTCCACTCTATCTTGCTTATAAACCGAATAGTCTCCGGGCTTCTCTACATCCTGCTGATGTTGCATCCAAGTTTCAGTGATAGCTATTATCACCGAGTTTTGGGCGCGCGTCACCAACTCTCCCCATTTTCCCCCAACACTGCAGGCGTTAGTGTACCATTGTGACGGTGTTCTCTTTCGCCTTCGTATCACTCTTCTGTACTGCTTGGGGTGGATAATCGGACGTAAGACCCGAAGAGCTATTGCGTTTTTTGATACAATATTTGCGTGTACTCGGCGATCAAGCTCGGTGAACGACCAGGCAGTACCCCACACAGCTCAAATTCTTCACCGAGTCTTTTTACGGGTGCTCTTTGCCTTCTAATTATGGATGAGGTTCTACTCAGAAAAGGGGAGTCCTGGATATTCCAAGCTTATACTGTGGCTCAACTAACAGATGCTGATTTCACGACCTTAGCCTCAACCATCGTTTTTTCTCCCTCAGCGTTGAATGACTCCGACGGAGTGATCTTTGGTGATCCGTCGGCTCTTCTGTTATCTGCTTTCTTCCCAAGGACTCCAGCTCGGGACTGCTTCGGCTTTTCTCCCTTCTATTATCGCCTTTTGGTTGCTCTGGTTTGGGTTTCAGGGGTGTGGACTTCCTTAANAACGGTGATCCAGCTGGTAAACTTTGTTGAATTACCATGCGTAGGCACACTCCACCCACTCCTACTCCGTGTGCGATATGGGCGTTTAGTTTACTAAGAGTAACTCTGGGCTTTTTGTGTTGCATTATTTTTTTGCAGGAATAATGATAATGACGCCCCGCTGGTCGTAATGAACTGTATCAAGGGTAACTTTGATACACTTTCTGGTGTTCATTTCCACTACAACAGCCCCAGAGAGCAGAAGGTCCCGGCCGTATGCACTGTAAAATACGACTAGTGTACGTCTAGGTCTGACTATATGGTTTTGCCTCCACAACCCAACCCTGTGGTACTTAATATAGGACCGTACCGGCCAATCGTAAAACACCTCGAAGATGTTTGCGATCTGCCTTTCGTCGCGCTTTAGCATCGCAAGTCGTTGGGTCCGCAGAGTTATATAGCAAGACGCGTTTGTTCGACCCAATAGCGCTTGAGTACTGTGTTGCATTTCTTGGGGATCTTTCCCCAACTGGTCTATACGACCAGTCAATGCTATAGACTCTAACGGTTGAACCATAGCCTCTTTTCGTGGTTTCTTTCCCTTGGTGCTCGTGCTTTTCTCTTTTCCATTGTTTTCCTTCCTACCATTGTGATGGAAGGCGGTACAAATAGAGTCCTGGCTAGTGATCGAATCAAGAATGGGGCTCATCCGACCAGACGCGCAGACGCAGCGGCGAAATTGCCTCGCGAGACAATGTTGACTGCCACCCGAAACGAGCAAATTGACAATTACAACCCGACAGACAATTCGCAGCCAACTGGAAAGATATCCACCGAATGCCACAACGTCGGAGCTGGTGATCAACGCATCTCGCGCCGCGATCGGAACAAACCACTCGGAATAGCACACGGAGGAAGAGGCAACGTACGTGCCAAGTGCGGACCAAAACCAACAAGGAATGATCCACAGAAAGAGGCAATAATCATTCCGCCACGCGGTTGAGAATTGACTGTATTTAATCGAATGTATACACCGTTTGCTTTGTAATTGGATCAATAAGCATCTTTCCCAGCCCACTCACCTTCTCGCCACACCATGTTTAACACTTAATCTAACCGCCTGCACCTGCTTCATGGCTGGTCTCGGCGCGCGAGTATTTGAGGTTTGTGGGGACTTAGTGGTCACGGCCCCTATCAAAGCTTTTTCCGAATGCGAGGGCATTCCTCTACCAGAGCCTCGAGTGTGCGCATATCCACTTTAATCATCGATGTTGAAGATGCAGCGCATAGCATAGCTTCGACATCTTGCAGCATTTTTCATGGTACCGTGAACCGCATCTATTGCACGTTTTACCGTTACTGACCAACCTACCACAACCACTGGCTTCACACGTGTCAGAATGCTGAACCTTGCCCATTCTAGTCTAATAATAATAATA